ATTAGTACAAATAGACATACCACATCAGCACAGTAAAATAAAATAATAGTATAAGTAATAACATTATTGGTAATGGTTAAAAAGATTAAGCATAAAACATATGATTCTAGAAGAAAATATAGAATAGTGAAATAAAAAGTTTCTTTTTCAGGGTAATGTAGAACTTGTTTACAATAAACGCATGGAACTCAATCAAATGATCTTTATCTACCTGCATGGCTCAGTTCAACAAGCAATGGCAAAATGGACTGACACATTTTTATTTGGCCACGCTTTAACTTAAATTATTTATTCTGGTTAGCGTTTTTTTGGTAAGATTGTTTTCTATTACGGAGAATCATGGTGGGAGGCCTATGCTCCTCCATGGGGGGTAACAGGCATAAGTAAGTAACTCTTTAACTTCCTTCCTACACCAGACATCATCGCCTGCCAATGTAGGCAGTGATTAGGCATATGTAACATATGTCCTAACCATCCTAGTGGATGAAGATTCAGTAACTCATCAATCATTATCTCATCCATAACCTCAACACTGTTAATATCGCCGTTTAAAGAAACGCGAGTAGATTTTGGAATACACACATGATCAAAAACAACCAGGCTAAGTATATATTCTACCTTCAAAGACCATATTTCACATATATAAATCAATTCATGTCTTTTGGTTGACAGAGAAATTTTTCACCTGAGATACAAGTGACATAACTTGACAAAGGCCAACTAATTTTCCTGAATCCAACCTCTTATTACGATATGAAAATGAAGATTTTGTTCACAAATTTATTCATTTTAAGAGTAAAGAGATAAGAAATTGTATCGCTGAGGAATACATTCATATACGATTATGAATGTGAAATGGTTATGAATAAACACAAAATATGCCTGTTTAAAAGTTCTATGTATATAATTTTATTTATTTATTTAAACACATAAACATTGGTACACGGAGGCACCAGATAGATATGCGCCATATAAATCAATTGATTTATGTGAGGGCTGGGATACTGCATGGGTGCCCAGTTCGAAGCAGGTGGTTTTGTTAGGGGGTCACATACCGAGCCTTTGACCTAAAGGTCTAATCCACAAGGCAGTGGAGGAACGTCAGGAGATGCAGTCTCATGGTAGCCGGTGGCCAATAATAGGTTCACACACCATTTGTTCCTTCAAGATCCTGGAGCCCATGTGCACGATTGGTTTAGAATCAGGGTTTTCCAACTCCCCTAGGTAGACTCTCCAATGTAATATAATCGTCAACTAAAAATCAGCTATTTCGACAAATGAAAGAAGTATTCCAGTGGAGAAAATAATCGGATTTGTCAGATAATACATTGGTTATCTCAGTACATCAAGAAAAAAGTCGCCGTATGAATCTTTATAACATTCTTAAGCCTTAAATATCACAATCATAATCAGGAAACAGGTAATAACGCTAATCACTTCAATAACGTTATCGAATGCCATACTCCGAAGGTTAGTCACAAAGATAGATCTAAATAAGTTTAAGCTATGGATATACACATATCTTTGTCAGATGTATAAACATCATCACAACAACGGCAAAATTATGACAAAAATCTGGAAACCAGTTAGATGAACTCGAATATATATAGATTACACTACCAGTAGTTCAATACTCATATCATACAGAATACATACATACATACATGAATGACTGGTATGTTTATGAGGTTGTAAGAACAAACAATAGAGCCACAGACATACATGCGCCGTACACTCATATGTATATATAAACCATAATTTAACTGTATACACAAGTCATGTTACATAGTATTTAATCAGCTCAAAACAATCAATAAATACTCATGTCTTCCTTAGTTATTGTGTTACAAAAAAAAACTCATTACATAACACTCATTAATTAATAAGGACAGAGATAATTTTGAACAAATTGAGAATGTGAAATAACCGACTTGATTGTAATCAGATGAAAGAGTTATTTTCTCAGTTAATTTTTGTCTTAAGCAATGTGAACTTGTGAAATTCCCGAGGCCTACCATACTCTGAACTCAAGAATTTCATGTCTTATGACGAGTTTGTTACTTTTTAATTAATAAGACGGTATTTATTGGTTTAGATTTCTAACTTTAATTAATTTGTGATAACACCCAATCATGTTTCTTAGCTTAAGTGGTTGCTAGAAGGCTTTAATCGCCTGGATTCGATGTTTGGTAGGGTTGTAGATGTTCACAGCTAAATAATAACGTACTGAGATAAAACAAATGTCTAGTGCTTTTAAATGACTGTCTAATTTACATTAGTTCGTGATATAAACTATTAAATTCGACAATACACACAAACACATTATACTAATTCATAATACCATGTAATGTCACCCTATGTTATCATTGAGGAGTGGATCGAGCACTACATCACTAACATTGCTAAACATTAACAGTTATGAATTTTCATTAGAATTAATTCATTTTGAAGTTAGTCTCATTTGTGTATACAAAACTAATGTTTGATCATAAACGAGGAAAAGAAACTAAGAGAGTGAAGCGTTGAATGGCATTCGATATTTGTTGTTTAATCCTTAACAGAAGTTGAACAACGACAGAAGTAAACTTTAATCCATTATTGCCAGGGAAAAAAAGTATCACAACAATCCTAAGAGTTTTAACCATTAAGCTACTGCCCAACATATGATATTGATACCCAATAACTGTAGTTTTATTTCGTTCATTTTCTATATCATCAATCACAGCAAAACTCAAAGTAAAGTCAACTCTGACAGATACAGACAAAATGTACAATTGGTTTTTATTTTATTAAAGAAACAAATTCATGATAAATTCAAAGTGATACCAAAAATAATGACGAAAATTTCGACTTAACGTCTATCAATTCACCATTTTCAGAATACTAAGTATTACATCTGAGAATGTTGTTTTATGGAAAAGATAGTTTGTGATTAACAGCCGGATGCAGAATGACCATTTCTTTCTACTTGGGACTTTTCAGTTGGATGTACCTGAATTTAAATGTTGATATATGCAACAGGACTCGAACCAAAGACCTCTAGCTTTACATGCCCAATGCCTTATCCACTGAGCTACTGAGTTCGGATAGATAAGAATTCTCCAATAGGATAAAATATGGGTACTGAATTCCACTCCTAGCCATAAGTAATCTATTCTATAAAACTTGTGATAAGATAGCTACACCAAGGCGGTTCATAAAGGATACATATATGTCAATTAAGACTGATCAGCAATGCAGTCCACAATATTAACAACGGAATACTTAAAACCATAGTAATAATAATTATATGTTAACTGCATTGCTTTTATTACGTTCAAATCAGTCAACAACAATGTATACAGTTATAGAATGTCAGTAACAAGCTTTTTATATTAAATGATGAATACTTAATAACCATTTTCTCTACTTCGCTTATATTTTAATACATCAATACACTCACGTCGGTTCACGATCGTTCTTCTATTTTTACATGTTAGTTCATTTGTAACTACCAGAATATGTTCCCAATAGACCTGAGGATTTCTATTTCACTAATTACAATTAATATTATGTTTAGTTAATCTAAATGACCCCGTAAGTCAATCTAAGCTAGACCTGTTATAACCTGTGGCCATGTGCCCTATTAATACATAATGAAATGATACCGCCAATTAGAGAACAGTGAATTATCGACCAGACCAATAACGCATAAACATGTACGAGCAGTCTAGAGGCCTTAGCGATCCTACTTTCTGCCTTACCCTGCCTGTTGAGTCCAGAACACAAATCTCAGCCTCTGCGATATGAATCATTTATTTCAAACATGCTGGGTTTATATACAAACCAAACAGACCACAACGCACCATAAAACAGAAAATGATATTTGTACAAGATCTAACCAAAAATTGGCTGTGAATGTGGGAGATTGTAATTAATAGACTGGGTATAATGCAAGAACTGTAAATCGTACAATACTAGTCTATAGGTCAAAATAAAGCTTATAATAAGAGGATTATGAATATACATAGTTCAGTTACTTAACAATTACACAATAAAAATATTTGTATAGTATTAGTCCATAAATGGTTCCTAACAGTTATCGTTCATTACCCTGATCGGGATCTATTACAACCACCACTAACAACCTGGAAACACTGGAAGGTCGTTTCGTCCTAGTATGGAACTAATGAGCAATGCGCGTCCACGACTCCTCACGCGAGACTTTAATTCAGGACCTTCAGCCCCGCACGCGAACGATTCGGGATTTTAATGGTGGTTTAGCTTAGATTGACTCATGAATCCAACCGTTAAAATACTACAGTCTACACAAACCCCATTCTTATAATTCCATAAGTCATAAATAAAGTACAGTTTGATAAAAAAAAATATACATTCGATAAAAGAAATGAACATACTATAGAAACCAAAAGAGTCCAAACAACAATGATATTGATGCTGCTGAAACAATAATTTAAGTGAAACAATAAAAATGTTGAGATTAAGGAATTAAAGAAAGTGAATATTAGTAGATTTAAAGGAAGACAAATAATGAATATATTCAAGTCACTTCGATTGTTCTCCAGCTATAATACCAACTCTCTTCAACCATAGAAAAGGGTTATCATATGTAATACAATCAAAACGTTTATACATTCTGGTACCACTCAATGGTTGAGAAGTTTAAATACCAAACGCTAGGTGGTAAGCCCGAACCCTGTCATATCTCCTTCCGTTTGGGCAATTAAGTAGTATTACAATCTCTTACACTCAGAGTTTGACCCGTAGTCAAGTATACAAATCTGTTAGATGCAAATAATAAATAACACGACCCATAACAATGGGATTGATAACTTATGCTGATATGGATGCGCTCAACTTTCTCTCGACCATTTTCTACACCACTTAACATTGTGCGACAGCAACTGGATATATATATTGTTGAAGATTAACAATGGGAAAATGCAATTAATAATACGTTACAAGGATTCATACATACCAATAAAACAACATTCACTTACAAATGATCTTGACGTTTGAAAGCTTTATGGCATACAATACAAATGTATTTACGTTCTTCACTATGTGTTAGCTTATGCTTAGCGATAGCACTGGAATTACTGAATACCTAAAGAGACAGAAAAATAGAACACCAAAATATCTAGTTATGTATCTTTTTTTTCAAACCAATTTTGTAAAAAAAAGTGATTATTTGCTGTACATAATCCATTTGGTTTCATATACTGTAAATTAAGTAGTATTATAGTTTAAAGTGTACTAAATAGTTCACGACCAATCTAATTTGAAATAATGACTCCTAGTATTTTTTTTTCTGCGAAATTAAAAAAAGTCTTGCTAATCATCATTATCGCTGTGATTAATTATAATGTATTCAATATTTAATAAATATGTTGTATTCAGCAGCTTCGGTGATTTTTCATTAATGTAGTAGCCTGAAGCTAATCTGGGGCTACTGCCGGTCCCATGCTCGGATAAAGGAGGAGGGTTGGGCATAGGGTTAGCGACCTTATCCCGTAAGAAACTAAATCGCTAAAAAACGCTAACTAGAAAAAATAATTCAAACCATTTAAACTCTGCCCTGAGAGTAAGAAGGTCTTCACTCAAAAGAGTTATGATACATGGTGAAAGTCAAGTTCCTTCGGAAGTCACGAGGTTGATGACTCTTCCGACAACCACAGCAACCATCAATTAAGGTACATGGAATGTTCGTACAATGTGAGAGACGGGGAGAGTTTTCCGAATTGCTGCAGTAGATGAGTGGTGTGTATTTTCATTCTATTTGTTAGGTTGAACTAAATTGATATATTCATATGCTAATGTTTCGGTGAACCCCAGACGCTTGAAATGAAATCTTTGATGAAAAATTTCATTCCAATATACAGCATTTTGTCACTAAATGAACAAAAGGATAGCTAAGCGTTAGATACAATAAACTTATTGGACACTGAAAATGTTCAAGATAATCACCGCCATTGTTATTTATTTAACGAGATATAATTATGCAGCACTTAAGATAATAATGTTTACTAATAAAGTTTACTATAGCATTAATGAGTTGAAATGACAAAGTGTGCATGCAAATACATTCAGAATGCTTCCTCATTTATGGATAAATTGTGTTTTTGACGCAAAATAATAACTAGTTCCTTTGAAAAACCTTTCATGTAAATTATTTTATTAGTGGTGGAGTGAATCAGAAACACTTTTATAATATACAGATCAGGATATCCAAATATAAGGTCGACAGTTTGTTGTTATAAACCATTTTAATTTTCATATTACGAAAACTTTAGTTCGATAACCACTGGAAAATAGGAAGCATTGAATAGCTATTTATTTCCAATGTCAGATTCCTAGATAAGGAACACCTATTACCTAACCAAGCATCAAACCAGGATTAGAAGTCCCATACTTAGATGAGGAAATTATCAAACGCTCCCTGGTTTTCAGTAACTTTCGAAATAACATCAGTTCATGATAAGAAATTTAAATCTCATCAATACCCTATAACAACAATCATACAATTTTATTAACCTTTGAGTAAGTTCTCCTACAAAAAAGAGAGTGCTACATGAAATCATTTGTATTGCTATTAGTGGCCTTAGAAATAATTCGAAATAGACTGATCTGTAATCACATAAATGACTTATTTTATCCGAAAATTCTTTGATTTCAAAAAAGAAAAGTTGATTATAAACTCTGGAAAATTTAGAAACCAAGTAGAAACGACACGCGTATTGATGTTCTATGAATATTTTTTAGTGGGATGATTTGTAATTTCAACTATCCATTTACATATTGACCAATAAATGACGTTCAAGTCTTTTTGAACATTCCTATATATCGGTGAAGTTTTGTATACTCCTACCACAGATAATAAACCGTAGAACCTGTTTGTTTAAATCCCAACTTAACACATATCTTCTCATGTCTGTACTTGACTGATACATTATTTTTTTAAAAACTGTTTATGGACCAGGTTGTCATAGACTTTAATGTCAAGTTATTGGATTCACAAGTGTTTAGTATTTAAGATAGAACTATGAATATGAAATTGTGTGTGTGTGATGCGATGATTAAGAATTAAGTTTAATATATTCGCGTTCTAATTGATTGTAGAATGAATGGCCTGCAAAGTGAATTCCTCCAATCAACCATGATATTTTACCATAGTACTTTCAGTTTCATATTTTATAATATAAGCATGTAATTTCATTACAAAAAAGAATCTATTATTCTGGCTGGTGATATATTTTCTGACCTCAAATTATTGGTGACTAGATATCACTGGGAAAGTATATACCATTGAATATCATCGACAGATGTACATTCATTTTCTTTCATTTTGACAGTCAAAAATTCATTTGATTCATGCAATCCGCCTCCGTAACAGAGGGAGCAAGAGAAGCATACAAAAAGATTAAGTTTTAGACACACAGATTCAACAACGAATCATCCTAAGAGAGTTTAATGCACTCAAAAGTACATTTCACTGTTTAATGTGAGATAAACGCCATTCTGAGACATAACCAGTACGGAGACGTACAAACGTGAGTTATCACAATTTGCCATATAACATTAGCATGATGAAATGGAATTATTATAAATAGTAAGGCAGTCGAAATAATTTATCACAACTGTAATAAAAACACAACACCCACTGCCAATTAAATGAATGATTTTTTTACGAAATGCAAACATCTGTAGCTAAACATGAATGTTTATAACACGGTATTGCGACAGAATGTCAACAATTATCCCGAGACAACGCGAATATTGAACATACAGATCCATCAGATAAACAGATATAAACTTCCTAAGAACAGGCATAAAGGCGTACTGCTGCAGATTGTCACGTTTCACATCAAAATCGAGACTTATATCCTTCCTTTCTGTTCCAATTGATAAAGTACACTTTTATTCTTGATAAAAAACGGCAGGAAATATAATAAATTCAGTAACTATTTAGAGGTTTCACACAACAGTAAACTAATATGTAGGTCGTATTCGTCATATATCGGTATCATTTAAGAGGTCATTAAAAACCAAGGAGCATTAGACAGTTGTTTAGCTCTAGCATGTGAATCTTCAGCAATGTGCATTTACGATCCATCTATGGGTAAAACCCAGCAGCTTCGGTCATTTTTCATTAATGTAGTAGATGAGTAACTTCGCCTGAAGCTAATCTGGGGCTACTGCCGGTCCCATGCTCGGATAAAGGAGGGTTGGGCATAGGGTTAGCGACCTTGTTCCAGATCTCACTGGGGAAGCTTAGCCATTGGAGCTATTGGATAGGCGTCAAATGGTACAATTTCAACTACAATGAATTTGCAGTACAGCACGATAATCAACCAATGTCATGTATCCAACAGTCGATGGTCTAGAATACTAACTACTCATTTACATCCAGACGAAATAATCAGATACAACACATTAAATAAAAGATATAAGACCACAGAATTAGAGAACAATACACATACATGTACAATCCAGTTTTTTTTCCAAAAGTATTCTAAATGACATTAAGGAGGGAAATTATATTTGGAAAAAATTTTTTTCACTGTCATTAATATTACATTAATTCAACCTCTATACACCTTGTGTCAATTTTACTTCGTCGTGCTAATGTTGTGTAGGAACGTGGATCAACACATCGGCTCCAAGTTGATGATAGCTTACAGATAACTAACAACCTTTTGAACAGTATGTAGTGACCAACATCATATTTATCTAGTGTTTTTAGCTCTGCCCGAATGTTATCGATCAAGTTGCAATGTGGCCACTAATCCGGGTGACTCAACATAAAACATACTATGCTGAGATATTAAATAGATGTAGTCAACAAGAAACACTGGACCTATGTCCACAGTAAGAAACATTTCCACCGAGATTCCATGTAGCCTGAAAACTACGGTGACAACATTCCAGATTGTAAAGCAAGGTAACATGGATCTAAATCCCACAAGCGACATAAGTTTTCCCAACATTGTAGATATACCCTACAGTCCAGCATCAACAAGAAAGAAGCCTAGGTTCAGGGTTTCTTACCAACTACTTGGAACCACTTAATACATATACATTACATCATGTAATTTAACAAAATGATGGAAAAAAAATACATACTTACTTTATCACAAAACGGACATTTTAATGTTGTTCTTGGATGAACTGGTTGCTTTACTAAACTAGTAGGCGTTTCATTTGAATTAACTTTAACAGCAGAATAATTAGATGAAGCATTATTATTATTATTATTATTATTATTATTGTTCATTGTATGTTCTTTTGTCACTGATGATATAGCTGCTCGTTCGTTGTTGTGGTTCTTATTCTTACCACTTATAGTATGAGTAGTATTCCATATAAGATTAGAGGAAATTGGAGAATTGGGCGAACTAATGATGGGATTATTATCATCATTCTCGTTATTAAGAATATTAATACATAAATCAGCAAATTTTTTTTGTTCAGATTTTGAAAATAAAAATAAATCACTTGATGATATTGTAGTATTGTCATTATTTAATGTCAAATTACTGATAGACGATTGTATAGTATTCCAACAAGAAGATGGAAGAATAGGAAGAACAGCAGTAGCAGTAGTAGGACCAGTAGTAGTAGTAGTAGTAATAGTAGTAGTAGAGGTGATGATCATCTGATGATGATCAGCTTCATTAGAAATTATTGATGAAGTAGGAGAATTACACAAAAGATCAAAATTATATGGATCGTTATTAGAGGAAGTGGAAAAAGCAATAGAAGATAAGGAATTAATAGTTGTTGGGGATGTTATACGTTTCAGTAATCTATTCACCGGGTTCACTTTAACAGTAGAAAGATTTGATTGGCTATTTATCAAATTCGTTCTGAATAAATCACGACTTGATGATGATGATGATGATGGAGATGATTTATTCGAATTGATTAATGGCTCACTAAAATTGGATATGAACATAGTTTATTTTGTATGTATGTTATAATTTTTAAAAGAAATCTAAATTATAAGATCATCAGTATCAGAAGGGGTTTTGTGGATATTATAGTAATTTTAGTAGTTGAGATCATGATCTTGGATGCGTACTACTGAAAAGTCCCACAGTAGGACGAAACCACTGTTCAGTGCTTCCAGGTTTCCCATGATGGTCTAGCTTCAATTGACTCATGATCTCAACTATAAAATTATTGGAAAGAGAGCATAGATGAAACACAATCACTAACAGTAAAATAACTAGTTGGTTGGCATATCACATTCAATAATAACAGATTTGTAATTACTGAAAATTTCATACTAATCTGTTTTACATAACTATTAAATACTAACTACGAAATTGTGATCGGTTTAGATAGTCGGTGTAAAGTCGTGAATCAAAGGTTTTTGGTATTTGACATTGGGCTTTAAGGTGTACTTAAAATTTGAGGAAAACAGTATTACCTGGTGGATTCGAACTAGGACTATTTAGATTAACTGTTGAAAACGTTACCATTAAACAGTTTAGGTCGTTATTTGTAATGTGACTTTGCAATCGAATACAACTTTACGAAATTAACCAACGTCTTACATGAGATCTAGCAATATTATCCAACTTTCACCAAACTGAACTAAGAAGAGAGGGATCGAACCCGCAGCTCACTGGTTGAAAATCAACTAATAACATCATTAAAATGTCGCTTCTTTAAATAAGCAATAACCTATAGATTATATATACACTACCTCACCAATGATAAATGCTAATAATAAGCAAAACTCATCTAGAAAAATTATCTAACAATGGCCTTGAAATCTATCTAAACATTGAATATACAATAACATAATGTATGATGTGAAAAAGTTATGACAATGAATACTTTTAATTTGAATAAACATGTTTAATGTTACAATTGAATTAGTTGATATTGAGAGTTAATTGGTCAGTTAGTCAGCTACAATGGAGGACTAGGCACATATATGCATCGGTACAAGTTGCCATACCTCATTAGCACAACAACATGAACACCAGATTCATAGAATTAGTTAATTCAATGGTTGTAATATATAAAAGAAAGATTGAATATAAGGATATAGTACAAAAAGAAAGAATTAGTTCGTAGAAAGAAAGACACAAAGCGATTTTAATTTCATAGTATAGGGGAGAAAGAGAGTTTATACACCTACGCCATTGTGATCTATTCTAAGCAATATCACCCAAAGTTTCCAGCCATGTCACCCATAGTCTCCAGTTAACTGTTCTACTCACAATGGACAATTTATTTATGAGGATTCACTATACATGAAAATCTTATGCATCTGGACACTTATATATTAGAGGAGTTATGTTAGAGGAATAGGGTTCAAATTCAAAAAACTCAATTATAGTACTTTATCAAACATTATGCTTTCGCCTTACTGGTATTAATAATGCATCATTAGAACAAAAACCTTACAGAAATATTAGATATAGAAGGGGAAAAAGTTTAAGATTCACATACAATGAAAATAATGCACTTACATACATTCAATATATTCAAAATAATACACAATAGAATATTAATGATTAGCCATACAATATCAAACTTTCTTTCAGGAACAATAAAATTGAAGCATTTCTCACATTTTTTCAATGATTGAACCTAGTTTTGATGCATGTAAAATCTGAAAGAAAAAAAATTAGAAGATTTTGTTTGAAAGAAAGTATTATAAATAAATTCAATATATCAAATATCATTAACACTGGTTGAAATCATGAGTCAATTGAAGCTAGACCACCATGGACAACCTGGAAGCACTGGACGGCCGTTTCGCCCTAGTATGAGACTCCTTGGCAGTGCGCACCCACGATCCCGCCCCACACGGGATTCGAACCCAGGACCTATCAGCCTCGCGCCAGGCGCTTAACCAACAAGACCACTGAGCCGGCATCCAACGATGTTAATGTCTAACTTCAACCAATCCACGATGGATGCGCACAACTGAGGAGTCCTATGATGGGACAAAACGGCCGTCCAGTGCTTCCAGGTTTTCCATGGTGGTCTAGCTTCAATTGACTCACGATTTCAACCAGTGAAATTTCTAAAAATCTTCACAAAACCCATTCTGATAATAATAAATATCATTAAACATATTGTATAACTATATATCTATTTTATAAACCTTAGTTGTTATGTAATGGGGTGGAAACATAAAGAACTACGAAAGTTATCATCCAGAAGATGCAAGTGTTTATTAACAGTTGTCTACACAAAATACTTTGGATCCGTTGACCAGACACTATTAGCAATAACCTACTGTGGGAGAGAACAAACCCGATCCCACCGTAGCAAGAAATCAGCAAGAAGCGCTGGAAATGGATAGGACACACATTACGGAAAGCATACAACTGCGTCACAAGTAAAGTCATCACTTCGGATCCTCAAGACCAAAGGACATATTACGCCGAGAAATGGAGACAGACATGAGAAAAATGAACAACAATTGTATAGAACTAGAAAGGAAGGCCCAGGACAAAGTGGGTTGAAGAATGCTGGTCGGCGGCCTATGCTCCATTGGAAGTAACAGGCGTAAGTAAGTAAGTTGCATGTTATTCATTTAGTTACGCCTAAAATATGAGAGAGCATTTGAACTTAAAACTTAAATGAGTAAGTAGTTAAAGTTAATTAAACCACAGAATTCCAACAGTAGAAACGAGCAAATTCAAGAATATAAATAAGTAATGAACTACTAAACACTGGAAGTTTTTTCCAAATAGGGTAGGATACACCATTTGAATTCATTGCATTGCAGTTTTTAAGTCATCATTAGGAAGTTCTTTTTAACAGAACATCATGTAAATTATATACATGTGTACTCTATTAGAGTAAATATAGAAATTACTTTCCATACGTTGGCTTTTATACTTGACAGCTCCCAACTGGTAAGTAACATTGTGTTGAGATAAGACAAATCAATGAGAATGAATAAATCTGGGAGTGAATTTTGACAAATCAATATTTATATATTTAACATGTATTAATTAGACATTCAGTTTGTAGTTGTTTTTTATTCTTCTGGTTGTAAACTTTGGCTATACAATCAGTGTTTTTTTTAAAGTTAAAATAGTGAAACTATAATTTGTGAATGACCTTTGAGCGACGCAAGAGTGAACATGAGATTGTTCACTTAATTAGGGTTATAAACCAGTATGAAGAATTAGAATTACGATTTACAGTCGATAGTTAGTTTTCATCATGAACTGACATAAGCTATAATGTTAAAACTCTATTTAACCAAATGGATAGATGAATTTTGTGCCAAAATCCAAGATACATATTTAATTGGTTTGTTTATAAATTATAGTCTCGTCGTTAAAATATAGAAGTTACACTGACTAGAAAATAGAATTCAGCGTGAGCTAATAAACATTAACATTCTTCGTGTCACTTTTTAATATTACCTGTGAATACAACTCAGTTCTACAGGAGGTCAGTCGCAGCCCAAATAGCTCAGTGATAACATCTCTGACTGTGAAGCTGGTTGACAAATGATCGAATCTTTAAGGGAGTATCAGTTCCCTCAAAATTACAGGTACACCTTGCTGACCACTGGCAAATAGTACAAAACCTGGGTTCAAAGTTTCTTGTTGACTATCTCTAACCTCCAACCATCTTACATTCAGGAGTAAGTTGGAAGAAAGCTAGGGGCGGCCAGACCATAACATGGCACAAATCCGTGAAGTCACTGACAAGTGGACTGAGTGATGTTGGTAGGTGTAGACTACCTGGTTGGGGACCGCGAGATGATAGCAACCGATGGTTAGAGACCCTGACTGACATGGCTCAAAATCGTTTGCAATGGCGCAGATGCATCAACTCTTTGTGTTCTTCCAAATACTAAACTTCTAGATCCTTTATGTCCTTTATTTTTTTCTTTTTCCAAATTTATTTCATTGGATTATACTCCTTGAATTGCATCTTCAAACCCCAATCGTTCAGATTACTGCTTATAGTTTTACTACCTCTACCACTAAGGGATTCGAATTGACAACTGTATCTCTGTGCTAATATGGTATGGCAACTCAAACTGATGTACGTATGTACGAAGTTCTACGTTGTTACTGACTGACTAACTGATATTCGTATTACTGGTTCAAACACAGTAATCAACCCAAGATCATATCATAATATGGATATACCTAACATGTTTCATATAGAATGATCAAATAATCAACGATATCTCAATGTATAGGAGGTTGGAAATCTTATCATTATTAATAGATCTAATGCATAAAAGAGTAATTGTATTTCTATTTTTTTTAAAAAAGAGGGCAAAATATAAGATTAATTATGGGAGTGGTGTAAGTTACTACAAATGATCAAGATAACAATCATAGTGATAACCATAACAGTACTATAATAATAATAATGGTAATAATAATACAAAAAGCTTAACCATAAATTATAGTAATTACATTCCATATTAACAGAATTTATTTGACAAGTAAAATAAATTCTCAATCAATGAATGTTTCTTACTGGTAACACACAAACTATTAAATGACTAGATAGGTTATGAAAGAGATAAAATCACTTTCCACTTTAATGAATTCATGATATGCTAAACACTATTAACCATATGAGCATGCATACACAAAACTGAGAATAGGGACTTGAATCAATGAAATACTTTTTTTTTTATTAATCTTTATGCATCATAAATAAAAATGAATTATATTTTTATTACATTTTAGTGTAGAATATTTGAATAAAATTGTTATCATTCATATGGTAAACTGTGATCTACAATTGGTTAAACAAATACTTCTATATGCTTATCTATGTTGACTATATGAATATAATTTCTATAAAATTATATTGTAAAAATGAATGGTTATTTATGTGAATGGAATTGTAGTCAGTCAGTCAGTCAGTCAGTCAGTCAGTAACAACGTAGAACTTCGTACATACGTACATCAGTTCAAGTTACCATACCACATTAGCACAAAAATACAATTGTCGGTTCAAATCCCATAGTGGTAGAGGTAATAAGAGTATAAGCAGTAATCGGAAATATTACGGTTTGTAGATGTTAGTCAAAGAGTATAATCTAGTGAAATAAATTTCAAAAGAGAAGAAATAAGGGACATGAAGAATACACATTAGAATTTGGGAGAACACAAAGAGTTGATGCATCTGCGCCATTGCAAACGATTTTGAACCATGTCAGTCAGGGTCTCTAACCATCGGTTGCTATCATCTCACGGTCCCCAACCAGGTAGTCTACACCTACCAACATGACTCAGTCCACTTGTCAGTGACTTCATGGATTTGTGCCATGTTATGGTCTGGCCGCCCCTAGCTTTCTTCCAATCTACTCCTACAACATGAAACATCGTACGTCGAGGCAGTCGGTGGCTGGGCAAACGTAACACAGGTCCCAGCCATCTCAACTGATAAATTTTACTACTTCACCAATTGATTTACCATCTTTACCTAGTACCCGTTTCCTAACAACTACATTACTTACTCGGTGGTCCCAGGATATACGAGCAATGCTTCGAAGACACCTATGATCAAATACTAGTGACTTACAAATATCCTCTACTCTTACCGGCTGTTTCACAACCATAAAGTAGGACGGAACGATTTGCTGCGCAGTAAACTTGTCCTTTGGTTGGTAGACGGATATGGAACAGTAATGTAACATTTAAGTCATTCGAGCATTGGTTAGAAAATTTATCTAAGTTCGGAACTTAATAAAGGGTAACTACAACTTTACACAGAATCGAGTGCAGACTCTTCAGATTTGATAACCAACACAATAAATACCCAGTTAATAAATCATTTTTCAACCTCTATCATCATTCAATCGCTATTAGAGGATAATAACAACTCAATTTGATTGACTCCACATACAATAGTTTTCACTAAGACTAATTTCGACATGGATCAACTAGCGAACCTTGATAAATAACCTAACTAAATAATAATCAACTGACTTTGGATACTGTGCGAGATTTATGCTTTCTAACTGCTCACACCATGAGATTACATTTCTTCTTGAAAAGTGTGAAAAATTAACTGCGTTAGTATCTAATATGTCTGGAAGCGTGACCAAAAAGACCAAACGATAACTTTTCTGAAATTGAACGCAAATGTAATTGTCTTGATTATTGCAATCATTGGTTTAAAACTTTAAAAACCCTACCGTTGACAGTTAAGATCGGTGGGGGGAAATAGGAAAAGTGATCAAATAAGACAGAATTCTAAGAACTGTTATGTGCGCGACTCAGTACGTATATTTACTAAGTTTTCAGTAATACTCTATGTTGAAGTCATAAACAGAATAACGTTGTTTGGTTGTTTAAACATGATAAGACGAAGTGGGACGTGAACGTGATACAGAATGGATTATTAAACTCGGTATGCTGATAATTCTTAAGAAAATATTGAATGCTGCTATCAGTACAAATGCTCAAAAGTGTGACTGCATTCTCACCCACAGTTAGTTGTCTGTAAGCTCACTGATCATACACTAAGGTATCAAGTAAAATAAATAAAGTGGTGAATAGAGATTACGACACTCAGATTTTATTCAGTAGATTGCGAAATTCAAATCCTAACCTATTCAGTCAATCATGAGCAACGTAGAACCTGAATCGATCCAAGCTGCCATGCCACACGAGTACAGAGAGATACAGTTATCAAGACAAATCCCAGAGTAATAGTAGTGTTGGTAAAAGTATCAGTGACAGTAGATCGGGCGTAGAAAAACGAAAGCATAAAGATATTTGACCATTCACTTTTTGAAAGAAGACAAAGAGTCTGGGTCATGTCGCCCAAAGTCCGTAGCCATTGGTCACGATGATCACGTGGACCCCAGTCACAGTCTACACCTGTTAACATAGCTATGTTCAATTACCAACGATTCTATCGAGTAGTGTCACGTCTTGCTTTGGTCGCCCATAAATTTCTTCTAGACTACTCATACACCAGACACCTTCGCGCGCAAAGGCAGGAGGTGGTTGGAATTACGTAAAGTAAATCTTAATCACCACAGTTTAAGATACACAGCCTGACCAACCGACTTGTCAACTTTACCTAGGACTATATGCGCAGTCTCACTGACACACTTGGCGAAGCCAAAATACACGAGCGGTGCTTCTAAGACAATTGTGGTTGAGTATGAACCAAAGAGTGTCTTCCATTCTCAATAAGCATGCTTCACACCAACCAAGTGTCTTTCAATTTGGCTAGGTTTAACTACTTGGGTAATAAAATCATCTCTCACCATTACTAAATATGAGTGTCTAGTATTTTGAAGGGGGATGGGAAGAACTTTTGGGAATTTATATTTCACTTCATCTAATTTGCGGCTAATAGAACGGAAAGCGTAAACAACGAAGAGGCAACGGCGTGCGTCCCAAACTGTTTAAGTCCTTACTGTTCTGTTCATTCAGCTGTCTGTTGAAGTCCAGTCTAAAAATGTGTTGTTTTTAAGCGTAGTTCTGCACCTAATTCGATGAGACCGTGAGAAATACCAGTGGAGTCTACAGGTACACGCATCAAACAATGCAGTTTCGGAAGTCCAGCAGTATTACTAAACTTTTTAAAAGCTCAAGCACGAGTACATAAATAAGTAGCTGGTAAACGAGTTGTGTTTTTCATAGTACGTTAAACCTTTAGGAAACATCAGTTCCGGTTAATATATCTAGACTAGGTCATTACAGTGGACAGTCTTAACTACCAAGATAAAATAACAGTTATTTTTATTGGATGAACAAAATGTGCCACTGTGCCGTATAATCATCCTAACTACCTACAGGCATTAAAGTTCAAACGCGTTAACAAAATTACTGGTTTAGAATTTATTATCCACAGGTCTTTTAATGACCAGGTAGTATATGGGTTATCATAAAAAATTTACTGTGCGAATTGCATAAATGATTCGGTATTTTTAACTTATTTTCCATAACTAGCACCGTAAATAACAGATACAAGCAAGATTATGGTTTATGAACAAACCAATCAGACTCAAACTAATGAGTTCTGGATGTCTGCAAGAAATTCATCCATTTAAATGACACTATAGCTTATATCAGTTCGTGAAGAAAACCCAAACTCAACTCCTGACCGAATCTCCAGCCTTTTAACACTAAATCTGATTTCTAACACTGATCTATAATGCGCTTTTGATTCTAAAATGTTACCGAGTATTTTAAAAATCACTTTGGCGTCGCATCAAAATCGTCCAAAAATTTTAATCGCACCAACACATTTTGGAGAAGACCTGTAAAAGAATCACGATAGCGAAAATGTTTTACTGTATAAGACCACTTTTTATGTATATAATTCGTAACCAAAAACGGGTGTGACATACAGCGACGGAACATAACGGGCAAGAACGTAATAATAATCCACATGTAAGCACAACAGTATAATGCTCTCGCTTTTTCAAAAACTCCGCTCCAAAGGACAAGGTGAAATATTAGATTTTAAAGTAGTAAAAGTGCATTTCTCTTCTAAAGTTTAAAGCTAGATCAACCAATGAAACTCCGTTGTTTATTCAATAAACGAATCGTTCTATGTTTACTTTTTTCCAGGATTATATAAAATTGAGGATTCAGAATCAGCACAGCGTACGTTATGTTTCGAACCAATATTGACACAATTCCCATCATCACCTAACCAATCACTTCGTTCCACTAACAACTTCCAAGATAAAATCATACTCAGGAAAGGTTAAAATGCTAGTTCATTGCGTTTTTCTTAAGGTATTCAAATTTCCGCCTTCAGACACGATGCCTGAAATGCTTTAATTATATATTTTTTCTTTCTGTCCATTACAGTGTCGTCGTATTTGCATAAATTTCATCAGTGTCCTCAAACCCTCCTTAAAGTAACTAATGGTTTGGGAAGATGTTACATTTAATAGGCTTCTTAATCTCCTGAATTCTCAAACTCTGTATACACCTACTTTTACGATCTGTGAGTTTGACTAGCCACTTGTTTTCTCAAAGTACTGGTCACCCTTGCAATAAAACTAGACACCATCTCTACAATAATGTCAATCGGCTTCATAATTAATAATAGTAGGGCATTTCTGTAGTCTGGCAAAATACAGATCAATAACTAAAGCATAATATGAGTTTAAAAATATGTCACAATAATCCGCATGAATATGTAGTCGAATTGGGATTACCAATTGTATTCGTATTGGGATTACCAATTGTAGCGTGGCGTCGAGTTGAGATTAACTATGAACACCGCTACCAAGATATACGTGCCAATTAGATCAGAAGGCGTAAGAAGCTCGTTCCAAATGACTCCATAAAATCCCCGAGAAGCCGAATACCAGAAGGCAATTAATGGACCAAGTCGATGTTTATTAGCTGGCGATCTCGTGGCATCGAAAGGATACCGAGATCGTGCCAGGATACAAGCTTGGTTACAGAACGTAACCGAATTCGCGCGAAGTTACAATCAAAGTGTAAGTAAGAGAATGGAAGAACAAAATAGCTGTCATTAGCACAGTCAAACAAAAGCACATTAAAACAGTCACTGGTACACTTGGTTATAATAATAATTGTTTTTATTAAACCAGTCGTGTTCTCGTGATAAATGTGAGTCACTACAGGAGCCCCCCGCTAGAAAGGGTTTACGCTTTCGATAAATAGCGGTTTGAATCGTGGGACTGATCGGCTGACGAGCGATTGTAGGACGGAAAGATTGGCGAACAGGAAAGCGATCGTTGATCGTCGAGTTGCCAACGAAGGTCGTTTTCGGAGAACAGTACCAGGAGCGATGTGTTGTATTGATTGCTCAAGTTGGCATGCTACACGAGAGTGGTTTGTATCCAGAATCTGAAGAGGGCGTTCGTAGGGGTGCGCACCAGAAACGCTGCAGACGTAGGACGAAACCACGTTGAGCCAAAAGACCAGAAGCGACCGTAACGACCAAGTTCGAGACCAAGCGTATGCCAAGCATTCGAAACCAATATATCGACTGAGTACGTTGACAAGAGCGTGGGTGATCAGGCCAGCTTTCGCCAAAGTTGACTGAAGTCGACGGAACCAAACGGAGATGGTCGAAGGCGTGGGCTCAGGAAACAAAAAGAAAATCAAAAAAGAAGAGTGTAGCATACGTGTAGTATAGGAATAATCCTACACCGTATCGGTTATTGACTGTGCGACTATTCGCGGAAGCGTACGGGTAACCGTACTCGGCGACCGGAACGTGAGACGGCAGTCTCGTTCGCGTCGCGTGAGCCTGCAATCTCATCCGAGGTCAGAGGCGGCGTGGTCTGCTGATCTGGACGTGAGACTATCGTCTCGTCCGTAGACGGTGCAGATGACGCGTGCTGTTGACCGGGACGTGAGAATGAGGTCTCAGATGCATATAGCGTGGGACCTGAAGATCTAAGGATCCCGCTAGGTTTAATAGGTCTAGCATTGAATCTCAGGTTACCAGATAGGGCACTGTCATCGACGTGTGTTGGTTTGAGACGATCAACGCTGACGATCTCGACGCGTCCATATCGATCAACCTTGAAGGTCTTTTCGTGACGAGCGATCACGTGAAAAGGGCCTTCGTAAGGTTGTTGCCAAGGTTTGCGTACCGAATCTACTCGTACAAAAACATGTGAACAGGTAGATAACTCTCGAGGGAGAGCGACCTGTCGATGTTGTATTCGAGTTGACACCGGAGACAGCGTTCACATAAATGCAGACAGTCGACGGACGTTGTCTGATTTACCGAAATTAGGTCTGCTCCGTGGTGTGAAGGATTCTCCGGGCAGACGCAATGTCGTGCCGTATACAAGTTCAGTGGCGGAACATTGGATATCTGCCTTTAAGCTCGTTCTCACCCCCAAAAGAACGAGCGGTAAGGTTTCGTGCCAGTTGCCGTTTTCGTGTGCTCGTAGAACACTTTTAAGTTGGCAGTGAAACCGTTCAACTTAACCATTTGGTGCTGGGTGGTAGACGGATATGCTTATGCGTATGCATTCCGTACCAAGCAGCCGGGTCAGCGAGGAGAATCGTTAATAGGGTAACATTTCTCGAATAGAGCGTGGAATTCATCATCACGCGAATAAAGTGACAAGGATTCGGTACACATACGTGTGAGTCTATTATATTAATACTATTCTTATCGTTATCCGTCATGTCGCGTATATTATATATTAAATAGTAATACGAAAATATACGACAGACGTGGATAGATAAATCATAGACTTGTGGAACTATGGTCTACTATGATATTAGTACTGCTCTAATAATAGACCTAATCCTAAATTTGTAGATTCGTCATGATATAACTGCCTAATCTATAAGATCTTACGTGGAAGTCACACCATCGACTACGCCAACTCACTGTATCGTATCAATTACCAATACATGATGAAGAACAAGGTTAGGTTAGAGAAGGAACAATATATTTAATATGAATAGAGACCACGCCTGCATGGCCGAGCCATGCCACTCGATCAACTGCAGTCCATTCAATTCCTTGTTCGCGCCTTCTCCATTGTTGGGTATTTATCCGCGTTAAATATTGAATATCTATTTTCTGAGTAGTCTTGTGTTCAGCTTTGAAGATTGTGTGGTTATGGTCCAATGCCACTACACTACTCTCCCACCAGAATCAACGTGATGTTGGTTCGATACCAAATTGGATGGGATCGTCGCGCGCCGGAGGTTACCAAGGATAATAAGAATCCTCCGGGTATTGGTAAGCTGAAAGATAAATCAAAAAGAAAGCGGCAGCATCTGATCGGGAAATACATGTAATAATTTTAAAATATCTGCCTTCATGCTTAAAACGCTTGAAATGAAAATTTGGGTGAAGATTATTTGAACTATAAAAAATGAGATTATAATAATAATAATAATAAAACGATGCGTGTTAATAACTTAACTTATAGGCAGTAATTATTTTGTGTTTAGAAATATTAAAATAATGAATATTGTAGAAATGTTAATATTGGTATTAGTTTTGGTTTAAATTATGAAATCGGATAACGATTATGCCGGTAAGTTGTCCATATGAGTTGAATTCCAATTGCATCTGTATCAGTAGGCTAACTGAAGGAACAAAAGTATTACCATGGTAAAGAATTCCAACTAGTGTTCCAGTTAGTTTGATACGGTTTATTTAGTTACGGGGAGATTTTCTCAACCTCATTTTTACTTGACCGTGATAGAATCTGGTAATACTACTAATACACATGAATGGTTACCAAAATAAAATTTAAATACGTGAGTGATGATTATACGAATTTTGGACAGATAGCTAGGAACAAATCGTTAAACATGAGCGTATTCGTAAGAGACATGCTCTGGACTCAATGTTCTGATCTGCAATAGACTATTTATTTATATTTATACTTCCTGGCTGATTGGGCATACAAGTTAGTTGCAAGTATGCAGTTTATCATAAGGCGGAATAAGATTAAATTGAGATATAGTGGTTATAGGTTATTAAAATCAGTTAGGCCTGTGTCATATTACGAAGTGATGTGGTGCTGCAAGATGTATTTAGCTAAATAAGTTTTTACAAGATGATTAATAGTGAGTGATGCTCATGTGATTATCAGAGAGAACATAAGTTGTAACCAGGGGGAGTACACTCCCAACTCATGTCTATGATAATGGCTTGAACCTTAGTCAGTGTTGGGGTAAATTCGACATTGATGTTTTCAGTTTGCAGGAGATTTGCTCGACTGCTTATACTGATTATTTGCATGCATGATTGTGTCGCTAAACCATCAATTAGACTGACAAGGTTTCGAGATATTTACTGAGTGAGCATCTGATAGAGAAACATACTGTAATCATCTGTAGTGAATGAAGATAAAAGAAAAACAACACTAGTGATAATTATAAGTCAATTTGCTGACCGATTTTGCAAAGTTTCACTAATTATATCAATCATATTACGTGATTGTCAAGTAATGACAATGCTTTATGACGATATCCTGAAACTATTACGTTTAGCTAGTTATAGTGTTGATTGAGGATTAGTCAGTAGAAAAATAGGTATTGTTGATTTAGGTGATTCGAAATTATCAGAAATTTATAACGTTAAAGAATCCGAGACGCCTAATTTAATTATAAATTTTAATTCAGAAATATTCGTTTAGTGTTAATTCTAGTAGGCTACGGAGTTTTGATTTTAAACGTTTGTTTAGCCAACAGCTACTTGGGGATTTAGTTATTTCACTAGTGCAGTTGATAGTACCTAAATTTTTAATCTTATTATCTAAACTATGTTCGCATTTTAGGCTGCTAATATGATAAACCAATCCATAAACCCAAATACGATTAGCAACAACGACTATGAGGGGTTTATTGATAAATGTTAAAGGCGATCCAGATGATTTCTAAATTTATAA